CACCTTTTGCAAAGAAAACCATGAAACCACGTAGACTGTTGGCTGCAGAACTCAAACCTAAGCCAGCCTCACCGAAGTTGAACTATTTAATACATTTATCACATTGTCTCATTACATTTGTTGTCTTTTCTCCTAATTCTGTCAGAAGCTTTTCTGAGTGTTGTCTTTTCCCTACAGGAGGAGCAGCACAAGAAAGCCTGGGCTGCTGACTCCAGTTTTGGCCAGCTGCACTTTGACATTGAACTTTTGGGGGTTTCCCAATTGCTGTGAACATTGTATCTGGAAATATAATCCCTGGAATTACATATTGCCCATTTTATCTAGGCCAAATGTAATACTTTCATAGTGGTAAGAAGCTAAATGTGTGGGTGTGGGTATCTGGAGCAGAAGGAGATGCCACTCCACTTGGATTCCCACCATCCCATATTGGAGTGCTGGGAAGCCAAGGCCTGGGTCCCCTCCCATTTCTAGGCTTCTGTGATGCTCAACCTGGGAGGCAAGCATGTGAGCCCCTGCAGCCTTGTGGAAAACCAAGATTGAATTATTAGTGGGTCTCTCAAGCCGGGGTGAGCCATGGCTATGGGCACGTGGGGAGTGAAGTACAGATGGAAAGCCTGTCTCTTTATGTTTCAATGAAATGAAAGTGCTTTAAAAAAAATTCATGAGGGGCCAGAGCCATGGCTTAACCTAATAATCCTCCATCTACAGAGAGAAATCTTCCATCCTCTGATTTTGGACCAAAGTCAGGAACCAAGAGTTTCATTGGAGACCACATTGGGTTTGCAATGTAGGCACAGGACCCCAAGCACTTTGGTCATCTTCCACTGCCTTCTCGGGCGAGCTGCATGGGAAGTGGAGCAGGCAGGACTTAAACCAGCACCCGTATAGGATGCTGGTGCTACAGAGGCTTTACTTGCTGTGCACAGCACTAGCCCCAATTTTGCTGTTTTAAAAATGTATAGGTGAAGGCACAGTGCAATTTAACATTGAAACGTGGGACTGGAAGTTGGGGCACAGCAGCTGAAGATACCCCTCGAGACACCAGCATTGCATAACGAAGGAGTCCTCTCTTATTGCCATGCTAGTGCTCCGGGCAGGCAGCAGATGAAGGCCCGACTGATGGGGCCTCTGCCACTGTGCGGGGAGACCAGGATCAAGTTCCCAGCTCCTGGCTTTGGCCTGGCCCAGTGCCAGCTATCGTGGCTATTTGGAGAGTGAGCAAGCAAATGGAAGATTTCCAACTGTCTCACCCTCTCATTTTCCTTTTTTATTTTTTAAAAAGATTTATTTATTTTTATTGGAAAGTCAGATATACAGAGAAGAGGAGAGACAGAGAGGAAGATCTTCAGTCCAATGATTCATTTCCCAAGCAGCTGCAACAGCTGGAGCTGAGCCAATCCAAAGCCAGCAGCCAGGAGCTTCTTCTGGGTCTCCACGTGGGTGCAGGGTCCCAAGGCTTTGGGCCGTCCTCTACTGCTTTCCCAGACCACAAGCAGGGAGCTGGATGGGAAGTGGAGCCGCCAAGATTAGAACCGGCGCCCATATGGGATTCTGGCGCATGCAAGGCGAGGACTTCAACCATTATGGTATCATGGCAGGCCCTCATTTCTCATTTTAAATATGTAGTAAAAGGAAAAAAGAAAACTTTGTAGGGAGGCCTGCATCCCTTAGCTGAGTGCCTGAGTCTGAATCCCAGCTCCACTCCTAATTACAAGTTCCTGCTAATACACACCCTTGCACAAAGCAGTTGTTGACTTAAGTAGTTGGCTGCCTGTTGTCTGGCCATATGTGAGACCCAGGCTGAGTTCCTGAATCCTGGCTTCTGCCTATTGCAGCCCCGGCTGTTGTCCACATTTGAAAATTAAATCAGTAGATGAGGGGCTCACGCTATGGCATAATAGATTAAACTTCTGCCTATGCTGTTAGAATTCCATAAAGGAGCTGGTTCTAGTCCTAGCTATTCTGCTTTTTTTAAGACTCATCTTTTTTTTTTTCTTTAATTGAAAAGGCATATAGAGAGAAGAGAAACAGAGAGGAAGATCTTCAGTCCAATGATTCACTTCCCAAGTAGCTACAATAGCTGAAGCTGAGCTGATCCGAAGCCAGGAGCCAGGAACTTCTTCTGGGTCTCCTACGCAGGTGCAGGGTCCCAAGGCTTTGGGCCATCCTTGACTGCTTTTCCAGGCCACCAGCAGGGAGCTGGATGGGAAGTGGGGCTGTTGGGATTAGAACCAACGCCCATATGAGATCCCAGCGCCTTCAAGGTGTGGACTTTAGCCATTAGGCTACCATGCTGGGTGCTCTATTTTCAATGCAGCTCCCTGCTTATACCCTGGAAAAACAGCAGAGGATGATTCAAGTCCTAGGGCCGCTGCATACACATGGGAAACCCAGAAGAAGCTCCTGGCTTCAGATCGACCCAGCTCTAGCTGTTGTGGTCATGTAGGGGATGAATTAGTAAATGGAAGAGCTTTCTCTTTGTCTTTCCTTCTCTCCATAACTACCTTTTGAATAAAAACAAAGTTTTAGAAAAATAAATCAGTGGGTGGGAGATCTTGTTATCAAATCAGTAAGTAAACATTAACCAAAAGAGCAAACACGGTGTAAGGGTGAAACTGGGCAATATGCACTCAGGAAAACGGCGTGTTGAGGGTACATTTTTTGGTGCTTTTTTTTTTTAAGCTTTATTTAGTTATTTGAAAATCAAAAAGAAATAGAGAGGGAGAAAAGGAGGGGAAGAAAAGGGAAGTGAGAGATGGAGACAGGAAAAAAGAAAAACCTATCTACCGGTTCACATCCCAGTGGCCCCAAAAGTCAGGGCTAAACCAAACCAGAGCCAGGAGCCAGGGACTTCTCTCAGGGTCCACGTGGATGCAGGAGCCCAAGCACTCGGGTCATCCTCCACTGCTTTTCGCAGACACTCTAGCAGGGAGCTGGATCTGTAGTGAAGCAGCCAGGACTTGAACAGGTATGGGATGAACAGCATACGGGATGCTCATGTTGACAGCTTCACTGGCTCTGCCACAACACTAGCCCTGGTGGTGATTCCTGGACAGGTCAACATTTATGCCCCTTTTACTCAGGAGTTAAGAGTTGTTTGGGGGACCAGTATTGTTGCACAGCAGGGCAAGACAGATGCTGACATCCCACATCAGAGGGCCCAGTGCCATCCCAGCTATCGCACTTCTCATCCAGCCCTTGCTTGTGGCATGGGCAGGCAGCCGAGGAAGCTCCAGGGTCTCGAGCCCTTGCATCAGCTCCGAGCTGGCTCTTGCCATTTCAGGAGTCAATGGTTGCAAGGTCTCTCTCTCTATTGTTCTTTCTCGCTGTAAATTTGCCTTTCAAATAACAATAAATATATTTTTTTAAAGATTAATTTTTATTATTTTTTTATTGGAAAGACGGATATACAGAGAGGAGAGACAGAGAGGAAGATCCTCCGTCCGATGATTCACTCCCCAAGTAAGTGCAACGGGCCGATGCTATGCCGATCCGAAGCCAGGAGCCTCTTCCGGGTCTCCCACGCGGGTGCAGGGTCCCAAAGCTTTGGGCCATCCTCGACTGCTTTCCCGGGCCACAGGCAGGGAGCTGGAAGGGAAGCGGGGCTGCCGGGATTAGAACCGGCGCCCATATGGGATCCCGGGCGTGCAAGGCGAGGACCTTAACCATTTGCGCCACCGTGCCGGGCCCAACAATATTTTTAAATAATTTATTTATTTATTTGAAAGGTACATTACAGAGCGGGAGAGGTAGAGGCTGAGGCAGAAAGAAAAGTGATCTATCCAGTGTTTCCTCAAATGGCTGCAATGGCTGGGGCTGGCCCAGGCCAAAGCGGGGAGCCAGGAGTTTCACCACAGTTTCCCACACGGGGGCAAGCACACAAGCATTTAGGACATATTGTTTGGCTCATTAGCAGGGAACTGAATTAGAAGTGAAGCAGGAGGGCCCTGTGCAGAAGCCTAGTGGCTCAAGTGCTCATCTTGAACACACCAGGATCCCATATGGTCGCCAGTTCTAATCCTGGCAGCCCAGCTTCCCATCCAGCTCCCTGCTTGTGGCCTGGGAAAACAGTCCAGGATGGGCCAAAGCCTTGAGATCCTGCACCCACGTGGGAGACCCAGAAGAAGCTCCTGGCTGCTGGCTTTGGATTGGCTCAGCTCCAGCCGTTGTAGTCATTTGGGGGATGAATCATTGGATGGAAGATCTTCCTCTCTGTCTTTCCTCCTCTCTGCATGTCTGCCTTTCCAAAATAAATAAATAAATCTTAAAAGGGGCAGGAAAAAAAATGAAGTAGCTGAGACTTGAACTTGTTCCCATGTGGGCTGCTGACTCTGCAGGTGGCTGCTTAACCCACGCACCATGGTGCCAGCACCGTTACTCCACCTCTGATCCACCTTTCTGTACATGTGCTCCCTGGAGGCGGCACGTGACGGCTGAAGAACCTGGGTGCCTGGCCACCCGTGCAGAAGACCTACCCTGAGTCTCGGGCTTCTGGTTTTGGTCCCGTCCAATTCTGGTTATTATGGGCATTGGGGGGAAGTGAAGTAGGAGACAGAAGAATCTCTCAATCTTTCAAATAAAATGAAAGTACATAAATAATTCCTAAAAAGTAAGAGCCAAGAGAAGAAAAACAACCAGTAATGCCTACCAAACCACAGAAAAGCACTTCTGGCAGAGCAGAAGGCCCCTGCACACAGCACCAGGCCTACCCTGGGTCCTGCTCCCTGCCAGGGCGGGACACCTGGGGGTCCATTCAGTCCCCATTTCCTGTGCTCCCTGCCGCCCTCTGGACCCCGCAGTGGAATGAGGAAGTGCAGGCCCCTGGGACTCTACTTCCTGCCCTTGGCAGTTGTCCTCGCCAATGAAGTAGCCAGGGCAGGGGTGGGGCAGGACTGGGCAGGGTGCCACGGGAACACAGATTCGGGCGGACCAGCCACTGTGGGGAGGCAGGAAGTGGGCTCGAGTGGAGACAGCAAGAAGACATGTGCACGCCAGGGTCTTTTATGCCAACTGGGGGTCTTTAATGCCGACGGGGGCTGTGCAGAGGGACCGTGCTGTCAGGTGGGCACCCAGCCGGCCTCTCCCAGCCCCCGCGCCCTCACCCGCCCCCAGCCTCAGTGGACACCTTTACATGGGCGTGTGCCCTGTAGCCCCGGAAGGGCTGAGGCCGGGCCACCTCTGCCTCCCTCCTTCCAACTCCTCACCTTCCTTCACTTCCTCAGACCTTCCTGCTCCCTGCTCCCGCCTCCCGTTCCCTTTGAAGCTTTTCTCCCTTCGCTCTCTCCTTCTTCCTTTCCTCCTCTCCACCAAGCCCTCGTAGGCCCTCAGCCCCCGCGCCCACCGACGTGCAGTGGCCCACCCGGCGTGCGGCGGCGGGGGCGGCCCGCCAGGTGGTCAGCCCAGGGAGCACTTGCTGGTGCCCTTCTTGTCGCTGGGTTTCAGCTCTGTGCCCGGGGACTTGCTGCTGTTTCCCTGCAGGGAGAGGGCGTGGTGGGCACGGGGTGAGTGGCTGGGTGGGCTTGGGGACCACCAGCCCAAGTGGACTCAGTCTCACCAGAAGCCCCAGCTCCACCGCACAGTTTTCACCTCCTATGGGCGCAACCCCTCACTCCTCCCATACATACATGCACCTGCCCCCACCACACACACACACACACACACACACAAGCACACATGCCCCTCACCATGCACACGTGCAGGCACGCACTCACTCAGACACACACACACCCCTTTCTGCCACCACACACAGCACTCACATACACACAAAAAGCGCACATTCCTCCCACCAGACACACACACACAGGTACACACTCAAACACACTCACATGTCCTCTGCCCCACCACGTAAAGCATCCACATACATGGACACACATACACACGTCCCCGCATGTACACACACGTGAACACACCGCGTGCACACACATGCAGCCGCACGCGGCCCAGCAGGACCAACTCACCGATTTGCGGCCTCCAGACTTGAGCAAGATGTCCCGGGCCAGGGAACTGAAGGCCTAAGCAGTGGGATTGGACGGTGAGAACCACCCGCGGGGCCAACACATCCAGCATCCAATACCCCGTCTCCACCTTTCTGCGCAGGCTGGCTCACCTCATCCACGTTCACACTGGATTTGGCGCTTGTCTCGAAAAACCGGATGCCGTGCTCTTGGGCCAGCTGCAGTGGGACAGGCGGAGAGTGGGGAAAGGGCTCGGGCAGGGCAGCCTCCCGCAGGCCCTGCCCGCTGGGCGCTTACCTTGGTGGCCTGCTCCTTGGGCACCTTCCTCTTGGCCTCCATGTCACACTTGTTCCCCAGCAGGAGGCGCTCCACCCCCGCAGAGGCATTCTGGGGGC